AGCCGTTTTAAATGTTTATTAAGTAGGCGTTGGAGTAGAAATAATTGATGGCTTGTGTCAGAAAAGAGCATCTGACAACACTGTACAACAGCAGTTCTGTTCAATGAAGAACATACAGATCAGCATGTTGTGAACCCAGATTCACCATTTAAAAAATCGAAACAACTTCCACCCTTTCCGCTACAGTGTAAACCATTAACAAAATTAAACAAGTTACATTTAACACATTCACAAACTCGTTTCCTTACTTCTTCACTTATTGCACTTATGCACTTGTGTCGTATGCTCTTTTCTGCCACAAGCGATCAATTATTTCTTCAACGCCTACTTAATAAACATTTAAAACGGCTCTGCAAATACATTTAAATCGAGTTTTCTTTGGAAAATAAAAACAGTGCTGAAAACAGAATGAACATTCCCTTCGAATTATCTAACACTTACCACCCTTTCCCATTTAAAATTGTTGGGGTGCAATTCACCCCCTTCTCAGGATTAAATTATTTTAAAATTTTTTTAATTCTCTGCAAATACATATTTAGTGTTCCATAGAAGTCTGAATGCCATTGGCAGGCTCCAAATAAGATAAGCTCACAATGTGGGATTCCTGATGTCACTAAATGGTCTTTGGAGACAAAGTTCTTTATTCTAACCTTTGGAAGGAGCCTTGGAAAAATGACTAGATGGAGGTTTTAGTGTCATGTTAAAGAGATTTGGAAGAGATTTCTCTGGGAACTAACGACTGCAGAGCTTTCGTACGTTCAATCAAAATCGTGTGTATTGTTTCTTTAAAAAAGGGATGTGTTCATGCTGCAATTCAGCAAACTAACGGAAAAATTATTCTTGGGGGGTGTGCTTCATTTTCAAAAGCCAAACGAAATCTATCAATTACTTCGTTTTGAAATTATAAAGACCAAAAATTTACATATTCTCACAGAAACCAATTTTCCTAACGCCCGCGCTTCGTGTACAGAAAACTAGGTTAGTTTAATTGAATAGTGACCAATATTACGAATAGGACGATAAATAACGTGTTCTTTCCTACAACTGCTAATAGATTCCAGCAATTTGCGAGTAGCTTACGTACCTATCTGATGAAATAACCTGTATATTGATTCACATCAATAAATAATTGTACCCAATATTCTAATAAATCCAATTTATTTGAACATTTCCGAGTTCAAACAAATTTCCACTCTAGGTGGCTCTTGAATATGCATACCTTCGACTTACTGATGTCTAGTGAATGAACAACCATGTTTTTATTTTTGAAAGCCATTATACGTGATAAATGGCGACCGAGCGCAATATTTCATTCCCAAATAAAGAAAGTGACGTACAACTGCACTTCATATCCAAAAACTGTAGAGGATTATAAATTAGTACAAGAACAGCGGGCAGACATAAATTTTGCAAATACGAGTGCATGCGTGACTTGAGCAAAAAAGAATGTTACATGAACAGATATAAAGTATTTATCTCGGGCGGAGGGGAATGAATAATGACTTTGTGCAATACAAAGCGATTTTTATACAATCCAATTAAAAATCTTTTACAGCAATTTTGTTCGAGCGATAAATTCCTTCCAAAATTACTCAGCAGCAATATATTTCTAGTCCGAACCGAGTTTAATCAAAACATTTCTATTTTTTGTTCATCTTGTCGCTACTTAAAATTAGGTTGAAATACGGCAGATTGGATTTAATTTCGTGGTCTTTTTTTCGTGTGCCAATTACGCGTTCGTATTGTATCCCTTTTATTCCGAGCATAAAAAGAAAACCCTTCTGCGGGCGGTTCGTTCCATTCGTAAACGTTGACATCAATATAATCAATAGGTCCCCTGTATGTACTCAACGGAGTGGATTTTTGAAAGAAAAATTTTAATGAATAAAAATTTTTGAATCGAAAGTAATTTATCATAAAAGCTCCGCTGTTCTGAGTGGGAAATAAAATCTCCAAATCTCTTTGAAATATTACAGTCGTGTGCTGTCATTTTGATTTCAAAGCATTCTTATTGTATTCGTCGAAATCTATAACTGGTATTCATCATTGGTAGGTATCTACCAACACTAATGACGTGATGATTATTCTATACAGAAACGCAAGAGCCAGTAGCATACTCGTTAACTAAATGTAAATGTGTTACGGGTGTACAGAATTTGGCGAGTTCTATTAATCAAACTTATTCGATGTAGATTTATTACTTTACACTACGTGCTTCCAAATACTAATCAATGGCAGAAAATTGCCCACTTTTCTCTGTAGATGTTTCGAATTGCAAGGGACTGGAGAAAAAGAAAGCAAAGTTAGTTGTTTTCTGATCATATTAGTTTTTTGCTTGATGCGATCTCACCAGGCCATTAAAGACATCGAGTTACCCGCGCATTGTCACAAAAATATGGATCAGTGAGGAGCAGATTCAGGAAGATACCGAATGCTAAGGATCAAACGTTACTCAAAGAGATACGTGGATTACAACCGTACCACGCTGTCCTAGAAGTAACCACTGCACAAAGAAACCGATCTAAAATCCCTATTTCATCTCTGAATCACAGTCTTAAAATATTGGGAATGATAACGGTATAACGCCATATGTAAAACACAAATAACCTTATTCACCCAGGATAACTTGCTTCACTTGCTCGTGTCCCAAACGTACACTGAATAATAAGCCTCATCATAACATGATCGTAATCCTATTAAAGGAGATGTGCGAGAATTCTAGATTGGAATTAACAAAACAATTGCGCACTATTAAGTAAGTACCGTATCGACAGTATCCGCGACATTTCTTTAATCTACCGATTGCGGCCGAGTACGGTACAATCAACACTTGGCGCGACACCAATGTCTTCTTTTCTTGACGAAACTGGTAACTTCATACCCATACAAAACATAAGCATTTCCGATGTTAAAATGTAAGTCGCTATTGTGAAGCTATTTTGTGGTGTCGCAAATGGAAAGCTTTGGTGACTTTCATTTGTAATTTAAAACCCTTATTTTTTCAAGGTCAGAACTAGAACAATGACGTCGTGACGCATTACCATTGCATTTACTTACGCGCAAATTAACATCAAACATAAGTCTGTATAGAACATTTCCAAACAGGAGCCTACAAAATGAAGGATTTGGTTCCAAATTTGCTTGGAAGTCAACTCGATTATACATGTAGTTACTTCATTATCGCTATGAAAAGCAATTTGACATACCTACTCGAATGGAATATATGCGAAGCCGTGTTTGTGTTCGCTTCGCATTAGTCAAACTAACCCCACTGAAGTTAAACGATTAATGTCATTCTTGCGTTCTAACATCCCTACTGTTTAAACAGTAGTTGCCATTAATATCTACGAAAATGTGAATTATTATACGAGTATGTGTGTATGAATTAACTTTACAGGCGATTTATCTTAGCAGCAAACGCACTGCCTATAGTATATTAAAAGAGTAGTTTTCTCGTTTAACAATAAATCTATTTCAATAATTACAGCACAGTTATGTTGTGTCTTGTACTAGGAGTAGAGTTGTGGTTTCTTTAAGTTTTGAAAGGCAGGACAGTCCATTTTATTGTCCATATGCAAAAAACACTTTCAACAAATAACCTTGTATCTAACCAAATACTATTATATTGAATTGAAATTTTAGTGGTTTTTTAAAAACTGGGAAATTTTGTGATTTGTAACTTTGGGCTCTTCCGTTTCAGTAGGTTGCAGAGTCCCCTGGTCTAGGTGAATATGTTGAACTCCGCCTGCTTCGTTTACTATGACACATCATGTGTGTAAACAAAGGCATTATTATTATAACATCGCGTTAAATTAAATAAGAATAAATAAATGATGGAAATGGTATCTTTAAACTGGATTTAGTTGTTTGTTACTAATTCAGGGGCGGACTGGCACAGGGGGGCGGGTGGCGATTGCCACCTGGCCTGTAGATCATAATGGCCCGTTGGAAATTTATAAGTATGTGCTGTATTTAGTTTCTTGCACTATTAATAAATTATTAACACGTTTCTCTAATTGGGGTTGATGTTAGGTTGTTAAAAAATTCTGTTTTAATTGAAGTGTTTTACAATGAATTTATCATTTTTTGTCGTAGTATTTTGAAAGTGCTGAAATACAATGATAGGCGACGCACCTCGTGTGGATTGTATATTTTGTTACTTTTAATTATCAGCTGCAATTTAAAAAAAACTGTATGGTAATTTATTTTCGAGAAATATCATTACTACACTAATACTTTAATGGCCCGTAACCTATGCAATTCCACCTGGCCCGCAGTTATACCCAGTCCGCCTCTGGTTACTATTTCTCAATGATTTGCGACATTTCAACAAAGTGTAAATGGATTTACGAAACTAATCAAATTTAAGCGGATTTACGATAATTCAACCGGATTCAATAATCGCGTTAGTAAAGTGTACCATTGTTTATGCTAATTAAAATGTGCTTCACCTTGTAGCTACGTAACAAATAAATAAGCAACTTCGGTATCGTTTAAATTCAAGAAGATTGAAATTCTTGTTATGCAAAGACGATCCGGATTCAAGCTTTCACAATACAAAAAAATCTTTAAAGCTGGCGCATTTTATGTTATTTGATCTGCAGATCCTTGAGTAGAAGTAAGTGGGGTTGTTTGTGATTAAGTGCGCTTTTTCATTTGTAATAAATTCTTTTGAGGTATATGGCGCTTTGATACACTTTTATGGTATATTTTCACGACGCAAGTACCTGAAAATTTATACAACTCACAAATAACCCTCCATCTCTTTCCCTGAAAGGTACCGAAACTAGAACTTTTGGTTTATGTATCTCGTAAATGCTCGTGCAATCTATAGGAAGTAACACTTACACATTCAAAATTCAATCTTTAGGTTTCTAGTGTAACTACGACTAACATTGATATTATAAAGACGAGAGAAGTACATAATGCGTTGCCCAACAATATTGGACAATATAAATTTGTGGTTTGTAGGTATTATAATTCTGAATTTCAAAACTGACCTGTACAATAAGTGGGTTCATCCGATTTATCTCCACAATCATCGTTACCATTACAGTAGTGATCCAATCGTATACATCGTCCATTCCGGCAGGGATATTCGCTAATCCTACAGGCTGGTCCGGGACTGGCCTGCTGTAGCACACTAATCAAGCAAATGATCCCACCAATCCTCCAGCGCTGCATTTTACTGTAACAGAGAGTAATTATTAGCAAATTTCTAACAATTTTGACACATGAGGGAGCGAACGCGGTAATTCCGTTTCGAGCGGTCAGCAAATATTTAATGTATGAATGAAAATTCTTTTTTATGAATTAAACAGTATGTTTAAGCGCTCTTTTTGTACCAGGAATGGGAATAATTACATTCGTACATTGAACGTCATGCAAAAATCGCTTGTGTCCGAGAAACGTATAAATTGTAGTCTGATGGCATTCATAGCTTTCCCTACCTTTTGGAAGTGTTGAATAAATTGTGTACTTACAAATTTTGTTGATTACATGGGACCGTTTCTATAAATTAATACAAAACAAGTTTCTTTTTCCAACTTGGGGGAAATCAATTGGCCAAGTGATGTGGGTCAAGTCGCCCGTCATTGACAGTTTTCAATTCCTTTCTGTGTAGATTTACGCTTGGGGACGACCGGAATAAACCATATATGACGAAAAGTGTCGTATTTCGTTTTTTTTAAATTCATTTAATTAGCAACATCTCGCGCCTAAAGGTCTGCATTTACGTCAGTGCATCCAGCTGTAGAAGTACGGGGTGTATACATGTGGTTTCTCTATCTAATGGATTGAAATCTGTGTAGGAAAAGAATAATTAAAAAGTGTAGACCTGCATTCGAAATCTTGGGAAATAAAACCACAAGATACGAAGAATCGCATACGATTTTCTGTAGGGGAATTTTTTGTCACTCGGCTCGCATCATACGGAAACCACACTTTTAATCCAGCTCATATTCAATATCACTGATCCTTGAACTCGTAGAACTCGATTGGCGAAAGTTTGACATCGCTATCTCTTTTCGTTCTAGAATTAGGCGAGGAACAGATGGTCACACAGACCGACAAAACCATCCCATAAGGGGAATTTTTGTTCTTTCGAAAAATTCCCATAAAAAACCGTCGTGTTGTCCAAGAAGTCGTATATTGTGATATAAAAGCAAAAATTAAAGTTAAACTGAATATTGTTCAGTGCTAGCAGAACAAACTACTTTTAATTATGAGAAAGCAGCGATAGGCCCAGAAATGAATAATATGAACTTATTCTCTTTGTGTAAACGAGAAACGAATAATACTATGTGGTTAAAATTTCAAAAAAATGTCTCTATAAATAAGACGTGCATGCGCTCATCTCATGTCTACAACATGTGATATGCTTGTCTTTACTAGAAGCATCTCTTGTCCAAATTTCAAAAATCACCTCCATAAATAAGACATTGCAGAGTCTGCGCATGCGCACTAAAAGTTTTTTTCTTGGTTGAGGTACTACTATTTATAAGCTACCCAATGTAAAAAGAACGAACTTTCCGTATAGTAAATTTAAATGTGTTTCGACCTTTCGATGAGTTTTCTTAGTAAGCCACATTTGGTTCACAATGAAAAGTAATTTTCCAGTGCATCATGTGTTGCGTTTGAATTCCACTTCGCAATATTGGTATTGCAGTTTCTATTTGTAGTGCAAATTTAGGATTTCGATATACCAGATGTTTCTTAGATCTTGTGGACGAGCCTTGCTTAGTTTGCTCAGCAAACACATGCACCTTGCAAGTTTAGTTTTGCTTGCTTTACGGCTTTTAAAGTGATGCGTTACCCCAACTTGCCTTCTGAAACTACTTTCAGTATTATTTGTGCAACATGATGAAACGTTAATCTTGCAACTATAGATACCGAAAACAAAACTTTTGTGCGCAAACTTATAAATCAGTATATTTCAACAACTATCGATTGGTTTCGAAAGCAACTGCGCGTATTTTCTCTAGGACCTTTCAAGGCATTTCGAATTCAAGGCACATACAGAAGACAACTCCATTACAGGATGGCAAATTAGAAATGTTTTCCAAATAAAGTTTCATTTCGCTATAAATTGCAATGAACGTAATCAAGTTTTATAACACACAATTCTAAAAATCTCCCTTATAAAAAATGAGCTGAAATTATTAACGTGGAAAAATTACTACCTAGAGGCTTAAGCTGACAATTATTAGCTATTATGAATAAAGCTGAAGATGAGGGATAATGAAGCTCGTTTAAGGGTGAAAAAAAATTGAGAAGGGAGCCTCTTAACTACCTCGTAGATTGCGATCGGAACAATCTAAAACGCGGCGTTGTTTCAAGCAAATACAGTTATAATTCAAGCTTATAAATCGTGGCACGTAAAAAATCTCAAGTGGCCAATTCATCCTAACAAGATAAAGCAATTACAATTTTTCAAAATGTCGGGTCTAGAATTAAACAAGAAACGTGCCACGTTGAGTCGAATTACCGCTGTCTCCAGGCTGGCCAACCTCATCAACTTTTAGTATCTTTAAGCGAAACCGCACCTCGAAAGTTTGAAAAATTAGTTACCAAAAGTTACCGCAGTTCCTATCAAAAATACTAAATGTCGCTTTTATTCCCGAAGGTATTTTATACGGATCTCATCCGTCTTCATATGTTCAAATTTCTCGTTTGAGATTTTTATTAAGTTAATCATTATGCCATTGTTATAAAAGTGTTATTGCTCCTGTTCAATATTTCATACGTCGCGTCGTATCCATTCGTATTATAAATCAATACGAGCCGCCTAGAATTTTCTAGTTCATCGCGTCAATTTCGGAATCATATTTTTGATATGAAATACAGTGACTGGTCTTAAAACGACGTTAACATATCTTAAAAATTTGACATAAAACTGTAACACAATTTCTGTGTTTCCTATAATCCAATTTCTGTGAAAAAAAGGGGGTATTTATGTACAACAAACGTATTTCTGTATGGAGATGCGTTTTCAAAAAGAAAGAGAAAGTATGTGCACTGTCTCTTACACGTCCAGACCAAAAAATGCGATTTGCGAGCAAATTGCGGGATTAGAATGGGTTGCTGATAATTAAAGGAGATTTAACGATACTTATGTCAGGAAAATTATTGTGTTTTAGAAGAAATTTGTTCTGCCATATTTCTCAAACAAGATTGGTTAATTAATTAACTACCACCATAACTAATTTTGGTATTCTTGATCGCGAAACCATAATTTGGCGTCTTCCAAAAGGCGTTTGACCATCAAGAATGGGGTATAGTATTTTTGATGAAAATCTCCATTGTCGAAAACGTTATGAGAAGATTGATAAATAAAATCGAAATTGTTATAACGTTTATTTATACCACAAAAAATATAAATAAACGTTATAATAATTTCGATTTTATTTACCAGGTACGGTCTAGGGTACAGTACTCAAAAACTGTACTAATGGAATCCAAAGACTATATACTTTAAAACATGCACATCAAATTCAAATAGAATAACATTACGGACCAGCTTAGAACAACGAAGAGATGAGAGGATCGAAGTAGCATGTGAAGAGAGGTAACTGGAAAACAGAAGAAATTGTAGATATAGCTATGTTTTTTAATTTTTTGGGAAGAGTGCTTTGGAAAAACAAAATGTTCTTTTATTGTGAACAAAAGTTTGACAGTTTGATCTGGTTACAGCGTTGACAGGGAACTAGTTGTATTGAGAAAATTCGATTTTCATCTGAATAGAATTGAACCTTCGCTTTGCAAGAAAATTCTAATTCAAATTAGAACAAAATACATAAGAATAAATAATATTTTAAAGCTAGCACAAATGTAAATGACACTGTTTGAAATAAGTCAACATTTTATTTTGTTCACAACAAAAGAACGTTTTGTTTTTGCAAAGCACCCTTCGCAGAAATTAAAAATTGTATTTTTAGAAAAAATGTGACACTGAACCATCATGTGTGATATATCGTTGTAAAGAGAAAAGAAGACGTAATCTCAGAATGTCAAAATCCAAAACGGTGCTCATAAAAAAACTAAAGTTGTCAAGTGTTTCTTCGTTATCTTGAAAGTTATTAAAAACGGGATGCCATATTCGAAATCTCCATTAAAGTGTCTGAATAATGTGTTAATTAGAAATGTCTAGTACAATTAGTTTACCATGACAAATGAAATGAAAATCAGAAATTTTCGTTTTTTTGCGATATTTTCAAAACTATTTAAGATATTATAAATTTCTTTTTAGATTATTATTATTAAGCACGAAAATTCGCAAATTTGCCAAAACAAATTTCTATCTCTTAAGATAAGCGAGATCCCCATAGTGGCACTCGAAAAATGGGCATCGTGTATACTACTTGCTGTAACGTTTTAGCCCGATAGTCTACGTAGGTGAAAAACGATAGGGACCATTTTTATGAAGTGTGTTTTCGGTTCACATTTCAGTTTTAAAAACTAACGATTTCGGTTCCCATTTACATCTAATCCATAAGGCGATTTCATGAAAATGAATAGGACTTTATTTAAATCAAGATTAGCTCTTCGTTTGATTGTTGATATTAAGGGTAAGTTCAGCCCGTGGGTTTATGTCCATATTTGGAATACGTTTCAAGTGTTTATCTTCTTCGTAACAAAAGCTGATTGGATTTTGCGGTTCATCTGCTTTTGATTTCACTCGAGTAACTGCGAGAAGTAGGTATACGCTTAACAACACGTGTAATTAAAGTTGCGAGAATTAAGCTTCAAAATTTGTGTAAACAAAATTTGAAGTAAAGATTGAGTTTCTAACTTGAACGTAAACAGCTCGGTACGTACGAAGGCATAGAACACCAACTCCGGCAAAAAAGGGTTTCAATGAGAAAACTGTTTGCATGGAAAATATTTGTAGGTGCCGCTTTAATTAAATTTCCCATTTGATTTTACTTAAGAAAAATATTGTATCAGTATTAGAGAAATTGATAAACAATGGTTCACTTCGATTGTTTGTACGCCTACAGCGCGGCTTCATATAATAATTTGAAAACTGAAGATTAGTAAACGTTTGATAAACAGAAAGTGACGTATTGACAGAATTCCTAAACCTATGGAACCTAGGGACAATGTTCATGAGAGAATGAGATAGTGGAAGTAACAAAGAATAGCCTATAATTCAAGGGGCGGATTGGGTACTTACGGGCCAGGTG